AACAACAACAATTAAAAAAAAAAAACCCAACCTTCTCTACCATTAGTTCAAAACAAAACTTTCACTGGTTGAGGCTTCTGAGTTGGTGGGACACATCTGAGATCCAAAAAATGGCATGTGTTCAATGTGTTGGACAGCTAAGGGAGGCACCAAGGTGGGATGAGGTCCCCTGCTTGGAGGCCTGCAGGGACCCCGTGAACAGCAGGTGTTTAACAGATGTCGCAGCATGTGGGAGGGAGCAAAGGAGGGGGTAAAGGGCATGCATGTCAGGAAGGAGACCTGGGGAGCCGACTCTAGTGATGCCCCCAAGGTTAATGACCCCTTGCAGTGATGCTCCCAAGATTAATGACCCCTTGCAGTGATGTTCCCAAGGTTAATGACCCCTTGTTCCCTGCAGACTTGGGTCGGAATGTTCCCTACATCTCCTGTGTAATGATAAACCAGGCCAGTTCTATCAGCAGAAGCCTTGTTCCCTGCCCCCACACCTGTCCCTTCCTGGAAAAGGGGGCTAGTTTTCTCTCTCAGGATCAGAGGTTTGGGCTGCATCCTCCTTACCCCTTCCCCAGACCATCCATCCCTTACTGTCACTCACTCCATGAAAGAGAGTGGCCAGAGAGATAGGAGGCAAATGGAGCGACGGTGGTGGCCCAGAATGTCAGCTAGCCCCTTGGGCAGGGCCCAGGGTGTGTGAAGGAGATGCTACTATCGCTGAAAGCCAGGATCCTTGCAGAATGGGGGCTGGGGGTCAAGACCTCCCCTCTATACTGGACTATATCCTCTCTCATGGAGGGCTTCTGGGCTAGGAGTTGGGGAAGAGTGGGAAGTACTAAACAGGTCAGGAAAAGTCCCCAGAGACGACGGGGGCCTCTGACAAAGACTTGAAGGAGATGAGGGAGGGAGCAGCTAGATATCTAAGGAACTCCAAAGGTAACAGCCAGGGCAAAGGTTCTGAGGTGGGAGTGTACCTGATTTGTTCAAAGTCTTCAAGAAGGCTGGTGTGGTTAGTGAGGAGAGAACAAGAGAAGTTGGAGGTGAGGTCAGAGAGGGGACTTGGAGGTTAGACCATGCAGGACCTTGTAGGCCATGGTAAGGACTTTGGCTTCAATACTGAGTGAGGAGGAAGGCATGAGAGGGTGGCAAGCATAGGAGAAACATGAACTATGTTAGAATTTAACAGGTAGCCCCTAACTGCTGAGTGTCCAATGGGGTCTAGGGACTGAATGTGGAAGCAGGGGACCAGCAAGGAGCTGGCTACTGCAGTAGTCTAGGTGACTGGTGATAGTGCTGGCAGTGGAGGTGGTGAGAAGAGAGGGATTTGGGAAATATTTTTAATAGAGAGCCAAAAGAATTTGTTGAAGACTGAGAGTATTGGGGCCAGATCAGGACAGACAATACCCAAACCAGGTGGGCAGGGAGGAGTCCCCGGACTATTTGCCAGCTTGAACTTTTAGGTGAGAAAAAATAAAGTTCTATCTTGCTTAAGCCCCATTATTTTATGATTTTTCTGTTAATTGCAGCTGAACATATTCCTTTCTAACACATGGACATCCTGGACATGGAGACCTGGGGAGAGGGGCTGCTGGGAATGAGATAACAGCATGCTCAGAACCTGGCACTCAGTAGGTGTTCAGTACATCTTCCCAGGATGGAGGAGGTATGTATGAATGGATGTGTTCAGTGGACAAAAGCTACAGTTGAGTTCCCACAGAAGGTGAGACTACAGAGGGAGAGTGAAAGGAGTTTACAAGATGGAAGCAGCAGAAGGAACAGCACTCTTGGGAGAGGGAACAGTAGGAGCAGAGAAAGCAGGGAAGTGAGGCCCCTGTAGGGTGTGGAGTGTCAGGTTGGGCAAACGACAGGGCTTTGATTGTGATTCTATTAGTCAGAGGCTACCTATATGTCCAATCAACTGCTGGCAGCACACAGTCAGGCTCAGTGTTCAATGACCTGAAATTTAAAAAAGTGAATCCTTCAGAAAGTTCAATTTCCTATTTGGCTATTCATTCAACAATAGTACCAAGTCCTGGAGAGTGCTTCGGGGTGACAATCAGGGGCATTTTTTTTTTTT